GGTCTAGTGGAGGTAATTGGCAGCAGGCGGTCTCTCAAGTACCCAGGTCCAATACCATCTCAAGTCTCAAGTAGTGGCCCTTGGAGGGAGGTTTTTTTCCCTTCCTTGCTTTATATGTCTTTTAATACCCTCTTTCCCTGAAAATAAGACCCCCCTCAGGTAATAAACCCAATCGGGCTTTTGAGCACATGCGCTAAAGCCCTCCCCCCCCCCCAAAAATAAGCTCCCCCTGAAAATATTTGAACACATGTGCAGCCGATGCCCGCCATTTCCCCTGGTTGCTTGCCCTGCAAACAACACGAGATGAGGAGGCGAGGCCGGAGGGGGGGGGCAAGGAAGGGGGGAACACCTTAAGACCTAAACCCCGGTTAGGATTCTCAGTGTCCCCTTTTTCCTTTTGCAGTCATTTGCCATGTAGTTGGAATCACATACCAGCACATAGACCGGTGGCTTCTGGCCAAAATGTTGGGCGATCTAACAGGTGAGTGGCCGTAAAGGCCGATAATATAATTTCCTTCCCTTTGTCACGTGGGTTCATACAAATGTTTTGGAGCCTGATGATATTTAGAATGGAGGGATATGAGGAAAAACATGGAATATTATGTTTTAACCTACGTGTTAATTTGCAAAATTATCTATCTACCAATCTAATTAATCTAATCTGTCCTGCCTATCTATCTGTTGTCAACTCGCAAAACATCCCTGGCCTGCTCTCGAGTTGCCATAAGAAAGGGCTGGGGGGAACTGATGAAAAGGCATGGCAGTAAAAGACAGATGCACATTCCACATTTAACGCTCTCAAGGCTGTTTCCCAGGGTTACTTACAGCGGCCGGAGGGGAGCGATCTGTAAAACCCACGAAATTGCCCCATTGGTCAATGTGCTTGATGACACACTCTGGGGGAGGCGGGGAAACAGGGTCATGATTGGGGCTGTAAATTACATGGGATCAGAGCTGGCTTCACTTGGGAAGGTGCCGACATGAAGCTCCTAATAAATAACTGGATTTCTTTTGAAACTTGGCTCGAGGCTCATGATTTAATTAGGGCATCCGGAACACTGACATCTGTCTGTCCCAGCTATCAGTTCTAGCTGTCAAATTGCCACCCGTCTCATGGTTCAAGGTGACAGGATAAGCAAAGGTTAAAATGGGAAGCCGATGAGTTTTACATTTGTCTTTAGCTTTTCCACCTGGTGAAGCCATTCCTGGGTTGTTCTTAGCTATATAATTCATGTTGTTCTTCCCATTCCGAGTTCTCCACTGCTTTCACAGTTTTGGCTCTTTCTTTCTATATTTTGCATTGATAATCGCTTTCATAAACTTTGAAGGGAGAAAGAGAGTTTCTAACGAAATGCAGGATTCTCTCTTTAGCCCAAATCACACGCCCCCCCAGCTTGTAACTCTTCGTTTTGGTTGCAGATAATCAGCTGAAGTCTTGGATGAGCAAATACGGCTGGGTAGAAACGGAGCCTGGGACAATATTCATTTGCAACCAGGAGGAGAACATCAAGCCTAAAAACATCGTGGAGAAAATAGACTTTGACAGTGAGTGTCGTTTCTTCTGCTCATCTTACTTCTTTAATCCCCCTCCTCCCCCAAACCAGAGGGTCAGTGGGGGCCCAAGCATTCTGCCAGAGAAAAACCCAGCTCTGATTCTACCGGCCAGATCTAAGCACTCTGCGGGCCCCATCCAGCCAGTGGTGGGTTTCAAAAATTGTTCGAACCTACTCTGTGGGTGTGGCCTCCTTTATGGGAGTGGCTTGCTGCCTATGTGACCGGATATGAAATTACCTCACACACAGCACT